ACTTAACTATGCTTTCAAAGCTTCAGCTCAAATGAGCGTTAATACTGTGGCAGTAGTGGGATCACCACACCAAACGACTTTGTTTGAAAGCGCCGATAGGTAGCCTACCTTAATCAAAACCACGTCTACAGCTCTCTCCCCTTTGGCACAGAGACTATACCTCCGCTTGTGTCGTTCGTACATTTTCCCTTAAATATCCAGGGCTGCTTTATTGAACAGAAGGTTAAAAAATCCAAGAGAAACACTGTTGAGGAGAACTGAAGCAGTCTGCTAAGCTTTTCACATCTGGCCGCAGAAGCAGCTATCCACCAGACTCCAGCTCTACTCCTCCCTCCTTCACTTCTCCCCACCTCCCTCCCATACTTTTCTTTTCCTCTGTCGTCTCAACTTCTCTCTCGACTGTGTTTGACTCATGCCTTTGCTCTCTCTCTCTCTCTCTCCCTGTGAGGCTGTGAATGCCTCTCTCTTTTTGTATGAATCAGCCATCCAGAGCATTGTATTGTTACTGTGTGACAGATGACAGTGGAGCATTATTCCTTCAGTTAACGTTATTCAACAACATCAATTAACGCTGCTGAGTTTTAACACCCCCTACTGGTGAGCACCTTCTCGGTGTAACTACACCTTTTTCAAGCTTTTTTTGCCAATACCATCTCTGACATACAGTTTGTAAAATGTTAAAACTCTTAAATATCAAGATTAATCCAATATGGATATGTTATATGATAGATGTCAGCATGGCATGTGTATGCACAATCACAATCAAAAATCTATGTATAGGAAAAGAACACCATGGAGGGCTATGGTGGGGTAGCTGTAGCTCAGGAGATAACGCAGGTCACCCACAAATCAGAAGGTTGATGGTTCTGCTCCAGTCTCCATGCCAAATATTAACCCCAAGTTGCACCAGAGTATGAATGTGTGTGAATGTTAGATAGAAAGCACTTACACTGGGAAAGTATAGAAGAAAGTGCTTGTGTGAATGGCTGAATGAGGCGAGTTGTATAAAACGCTTTGAGCGCTCAGAGCAGAAAAGCCATTTTGTGGACATAAAGACACTAAACGCCCAAACCCTTATTTATTATTTCTTGCAGCACATTAAGCTCCTGCTCAAGCTGTTCTCTCTTTTAACTCCCCAAACGAGCTCAAAGGCAATATGTTTGAGTTTCTTGATAAGATCAAAAATGAGTACACACAAAGAATAATTTAGAATGCCAAGAAATCAAGCTCACTAGCAATTCTGGCAGATCAGCTGATCTCAGTGCCAGTAAAAAAAAAAAATCAGCTGAGATTCTTCTAAATATCCAACTGGCAAACTGCAGACAGGATGTGATATTAAAGCTGATGAACACTGCCTATAGTTGCTTTGCATCCACAAGCCGCGTTGTAACCCAGCTCTGGCACAGCTCCTCTTTCATCCTGTTTCTGATTTACTCAGTGTCACGTCAAGATTTCAACGACGCCTGCTCTGTTCTATAATACTGTGCGTGGGAGGACATGGAGGTCCTAGAACAAGGCCAAACCACCAAAGTGCAAATAGAAAAAAACTGTAACCATAGAGGTCTGAACTAGTTTGTGTGTGTGCATGCGTGTACACATGGGCATATTTCATATGTGGCACGCCTAACAGACCTAAAAAGTGTAAAATGAAAAGAAAAAACTGTATATTGCAATTCTAAAAGCAGCTGGACAAAAGCTTACAAAAACTCATCTAAACATTGTCCTGAACCTGCTTCTGATCTTTTGTATTTGCACATTTCATCACAAATTGCTATTAAGAAAAATTAATTTAAGCATAACAGATAAATCACAAATCAAAGTAACAAAGTTTAATCCCCCGCTGCCTCTGTAATCAAATCTATGCTGCTGGGAAGGAAGCCTGAGGTTGAGAACCCTTTGAACGATATTTGGATGGTATGCAAATGTGTTGAAGTCCCTGCTGTCTGTGGGTTGTTGCTTACATGAGAATCCAGCTTTGACCTACTTGGCTATAGTTGTCCAGTAGCACAAAGGCGTGAATCTCAGTAGCCACAAACAAATGAAGTTCGACCCTAACTGAAACTTTCACAGAGCACCAGGTGCCTCATAGCCCGAGGAGGCTGCTGAATGGCATTTTATTTTTTTAAACAGAAAGCATGATGTTTGTTTCTGAAGTTCTGTTTGGTGGGCTCATATATTATTCTGCTGCAACCAATAGTTCAATTCAATTTACCGGTATATGGCACCAAATTACAACAACAGTTGCCTCAAGGCGCTTTGTATTGTGAGGTAAAGACCCTACAATAATACAAAGAAAACAGAAAACCCCAATAATCGTATGACCCGCTATGAGCAAGCACTCTGGCAACAGTGGGAAGGAAAAACTTCCTTTTAACAGGAAGAAACCTCCAGCAGAACCAGCACAGGGAGGGGCGGGCATCTGCCGCAACCGGTTGGGGGTGAGTGGATGAAGACAGGACAAAAACACCCTGGGAAATAGAGCCAGAGATTAATAACAAATAATAATTAAATGCGGAGTGGTGTATAAACACACAGGGATTCCTTGAACAGCTTCTCAGCCTTGGCTGACCATTTTTCTTCACTGTAAAGACAGAAAACTGTGTACATCCATGTAAGAGTGCATTTTAAAACGTAAAGGAACAAAGTTATTCCGTCACATGACCTTAACCACTGACTACAGGAAACCCTTAGAATCTCTTATTTCATTGTGAAAATGTCTCTACAGACCATTGCTGTCTCATTCACCAGGGGGTCATTTGTCATGTGCAGTGATTAATCAAAGACATATTTCGCCTTGAAACTGCACTTTACCAGGAAAGGTTTCCAGTACACAAAAAATTGTGCAACAACTCCTCCATATTCTCCCTATAATCTATTTTGAATCGGATGAGTGGAGGAATTAAACAGAGCACACACTGAAAGCAAGGACACAAGCAGAAGTTAATGGGTCCATCATATTGATCTAGACTCACTGTGATGTCACATTAAATGATACTTATGGGTTTTGTCTAAATAACAAAGCTGTTGGATTAAAAATCCTCAACAAGAGGAGATTATAGCTTTCACTCTCTCTTACACATCTGGAAAAAGACAAAAAAAAAAACCCTAAATCTAATCTAAATTTATCTCGTGTTCTTATCTTGAATATTTTACACTTCTTTACACTTCAAACAGACTCACAGCTGTTGATGAAAACAGTTTTTGTCTGCTTTGACGTGCAGTTTGGAGGAGAGAAAAGCATAAACTTTATGGGTCAGAGTGTCGCCGTGCAGATTGGCTAAGTCTAAAATATGAAACGGAAAAGCTGTCACACAAACTGAATCATCCAGGACTAAATTATCTGCAGTCTAAACAGCTTGAATCTCGTCAAAACACTGTCACACTCTTTTTGATTTTAATTACTTTGTTAACCTTACGCATCTCATTTCATGCAGCTAGTTGTTGTTGCTGTCACTTAGATTCTGTTAAGCAGTCAGGTGTTTTTGCTTCCTGCTGCCTTGAGTTTTAGAACACACTGAAAATATATTTCATGTACACTTTAACCCACTTGAGTTATTTTTAATTCTTTTTCTAATTATTTACACTTTTACAGAATAAGTTGAATAAATAAGTGTGCCTTATTATTGTGATTGTTCTTATCGATTGCCATAAATGCTTTTGAATTCAAAAACTGTAACTTAGTATTCTTAAAAGAACATCTGAGGCTCTGTCTTCAGGCCATTCTTCACCTCAGCTTCTACTGCAGTTTGTTCAACACCAGCATGACTCCAGATTTCCTCCTCATCATAGCAATTAGGGGATATTTCAAAAGGATCAAATGACAGGTCATTAAATTGGTCAGAAGAAGAAGCTCCAGTGACGCAATTGAGGTTACATCTCCCTCTGCTGGCGACCCCACATTCCTGCACACTGTGTGTATACCCTCCTGCAGTCAAACATCTGGCATTTAGAACAAGCCGATGACTTCGACCGCAACCCAGGAATAAGCAGAGCCACTCCAGTCTATGGCTGCAGAGGAATCTGTCAGTCAGCAACATTTCAGAGTAAAGTCTCGTCTACCAAAAGCTGCATCCATGCCTTCAGTAGCTGAGCTGATAGTAAACCAACTGCATGGCAAGTCTCCCACGAGATGAAGCAGGGAAAAGTTGTGAGAGTTTATAGGAAATCAAATGCATCGGTGTTACATAAAGAAACTTCACAGAGTAATATATTCCTTTTGAAAAATACAAAATAAATAAATAAATAATCCAGTCCAAGCTACAAGTCTTACAATGTTCCAGACAGCTTTCCTCCTGAACTCTTGCCAAATATCTAGCTGGCACATCAAGCTGCTTGTAAGAGAATCTGGCTTTTCTTTCTCCTCTAATATTTGTGGTGTACTTTTTCTTTACTTGAAATTTTTTGCAATCCCTGGCTATTGCTGTATCTTAAGAACGTCAAACTTGGTTACTGTTTCCAGAAAACCTGAAATTTGACTTGTGCATACTCTTAAGGACACTTTCAGCGAAACACAGCAAGTTTGGTTAAAACTAGCAGTAAAAGCCTTTTCATCCATACCTCACATTAGATTCTGTGCAGAACAAAAAAAAAAAAATCAAGTATTAACTTTGCTTTAAATCTAGACAGATTTTAACAAACTGTGCATGCTAAAACAATACACAATTTCTAAACTGAATTCAGAACAGAAAACGGTAGACTCTGCATTAGCAAGAAACAGCAGCTACATCTGTAACACTCTTCCATAAACTGTACAAAAACTGCATATGAAAGTCCAGCTGTCCATGTAAGAACACAATTGTTCTTATTTCCCATTAAAACAACAAAGACTCACCTTAGCTGCATAGTCGCTGACTGTTTGGTCAGAGCATTTTTACTCCAAAAGCTACTTTGGTTGTTTCAAAGCTTCAGCAAACAGTGACTCATCTTGTGTTAATCAAACCCACATCAACAGCAAAGCAGAGCTTGATAGCTGACAACAACAGAAGAGACTTCAAGCATACCGTGGAGAAGTCTGCTCCCTCCGCTGGGCCATTTTGTTCCTCCCTTGCATCACTTAAAGTGTCTTCAGACTTGATGACATCCACCTCTAGAGAAAGGCACACGACACAATGCAATCAGTGCAATGGCAAATCTTCCAAATATAGGAATCAATAACAAGTGCTTAGAGTGAATGGTTCTGAGACTTATCTTTCCTGAGCACAGATACACTGATGAGTCACAGACTTTGTACAATAGCAAAGTAGCAAAGTGTTTCTGGATGGTTTTATTCACTATTATCCTTCACTGAAAAGGACCATTACCACTGAATCTGAGTTTATCAGAAGCCTAAAAGTCCAGTTGTTTTTCTTTTTTTTTTTGGTTTCTTTTATTCTATATAGCTGTGAGAGAGAATTTGAGGGCTTTATATCTTGGTATTATTAGTCAACATGAGCTGATGACTGTCATTGGAAGCTTAAAAAGTCTCATAAATATTCTACAGAAGAGAAAAATAAATAAAAGCACTCACTAGTAGCAGATTCGATTTTCACTCTTCATACCCAAACTGGGAAACAACAGAAATTTTGTCTCTGACAAGCTCACCAAGATATTACCTGATGCTGTGACACTGTCATGCTGTAAATATATCCTCTAATTCATAATGACAACGCACTCCCTGTGTGACGCACATCACAACCTTGCCCTTGACCTCTCTTTATTGGACTCGGTTCCGGCACAATTATTTCAGATGAGCAAAAACTGCCAACAGAGGACTGCTGAAGGTTCACTCTGTGAGTCTCCCTTCCTGCAACACGCTCACATCAGCTGGCTTGTGTATGTTTGTTTTACAGATTCCAGACTTGTAGCTGTGTATCTGAGGCCGAGTCACGTGCACTTGTAATGTGACTGTGCATGCTGACTTAGACTGTAGCCAGACCGTGCTTTCGTGAGTGTAAGAGAGACTAACAAAGAACATATGTATATAAAGGGTGTTGTTGTCAGACTAATCGTGGCCTAAGGTACTGGTGGTACAAACCAGCTCCTTACTTCCCATTGCATAACATGTCAAAGTGTCTCATTGTGAGCTACTATGGCATAAAAATGCATCTGTGGATGCCAAACTTTGATCAAAGTGTTTTAAAATCCCATCTTTTTTAAAAATCTGATAATTGAGACGTACTAATAACTCTTCATTAGAATTACAATTTTCTCAAAATAATATAAAGACTCAGGACAACATATAGTCACAACAGCAATGGATCACAACGGGATGTCACAAAAAAGCTAAAACCCCTGTGAGCTCAATAATGGTGAGCTATGTGGCATTTAACTTTGCGGAGCTTTTGCCATTAATCACCTGAAGAGGACTGAATCTAATTTAGCATATTTGCTTAGGAATAAGACTTTGACAAACATATTGGCGTGTGATGCATGAGTGTGTGGACCTGGAATAAACCTGAACAAGGACTGAAATAAATCAGCATTTACCCACCTTGAGCTTTAGTGCTGCAGCTCTCCAAGGATCCATCCACAAAATCAGAGGGATTTTCAGTCATCTGATTCTCAGTATGAAGTTCTATGGATCCTTCACTCTTAGGTGAAAGTGCCGTTATTTCCGAACTTAGATCAGCACTATTTGAAATCACAATGTCATCCTGTGGGATAGACAAAGTGATCTGATTCTCAGGTGGCCTTTCCTCTGCAGTTATCTCGGAATTATCCTGTTTAGGTTGAACATTTCCACTCTCATCTGCTGCCACTACCACAGGCATATCACTTGTCTCACTGGTCCGTTGAACATCCTCTTCAGCTATGTTGGTGACTTTGCTCTCTTCTGTTACAGATGGCTCAGTTTCGGTAAGTACCCCACTGCCCAATCCTGATGCTGAAAGCTCTATCCCTACATTCAGGTCAGAGCTATTGGTCTCCTCAGTTTCACTTTCCTCCACCTGTGCTGCTGGAGTATCCTCACTCCCAGCTGAGTCAAAGGACAGATCCTCTTTGGAAAGATCTGGGGCTAGATTCTCAGTCGCTTCAGAATTTAAATCATCCAAGCTCAAGAGTTTGGGTTCTGATTCAAGCTGGGTGTCAGGTTCCGATGAGAGTCCTGTATCCACAGTTGTGAAATGTTCACAGGTTTCTTTAGGTTTAAAATCACTGGGGGCCTCAATCTCAAATCCAGCTGATGGCTTCCGTACTATCGTTGACTGAAGTAAGTCCTGATCCTCCATAGCGATGCTGCCATGAGCGGGCTGGAATATTTCTGTTGTAGAGCTTCCAGCTGATCTGAAACTGCCATCGTCATCACTGGAGAGTCCGTGGGCCGTACCCGAGTCATGGTCAGCTTGTCGTTCAGTCGGCATCTTGTCAGGCAACGGCTCACAGTCAAAACTATCAGTCTGTGTATCTACTACGATGTCGCTGAAAGCCAAAAAGACAGCTGAACTGTCAACTTCTTCCGCAGGCAAAATTCTGCTTTCAATACTGTATCCAGAGGGTTCTACTACGTCTTCACTGTGTAGCTCTTTTCCACCAACTGCGTCAGTACAACTCCCAGAATGACAACCACTTTCTGATGCCAAACCCCACTCCTGCTCTGTAGCATAATCCCTACCAGCTGTTTCCTGGTTTTGTTCCAGGCTGTTTATGTCTGGTAGAGGTTCCCCTTCGTGGAGACCTTCTATCAACAGACATGGAACAGGTTCAGGCTCCTTGATTACATCACCACACTCTATCAGCGTTGGGTCTGGGAGGTCCATCGGGGTTGATAAAGTGTCTGTTAACCCTTCACTCTCTTCCTCGTTTGCATCTAGAGATAGTACATTACAAACATCCCGGCTGTGTTTCGCGTCTTCTTTCCCAACATTCTCTTCTTCTTGGGAGCACTCCTTCACTTCAGAATCAGAATTGTCTGAAACCTCAGAATATGATGATGATGCTGACTGACCCATGATTGACTCGTTTGTGTCTCCGCTGGCCTTTAGTAGATCTGTTAATTCAGAGCTGATCTCCTCCTCCCTCCTCTTGGCTGTGCTGTCCTCTGCTTCCTGCTCAGATCTATCCTCTCCCTTCTTGGCCTCCTGTCCTTCCTGGATCACAGCCTCTCCTCTATCAGTTTCCTCTGCCTGTTTACCACAGCCTGCCTGTGGTAGAATTCCCACAGTGAGACCTTTCCCTTCAGTCTCACTCTGTACTCCTTCAGTCCTGTCAGACAAACTCAAACCCTGCATGGAAACAACAGGCCGCTCCTGTTCCTCCTCCTCCTCGGCTTTGGAGTAATCTCTCTCCGTGTTTGAACACACCCAGTCCTCTGGGGGAACGAGGCCATGCTCCTGGGGGTGTACTTGTGATGTTGGAGTACTCACAGTCAAACTACAGTCTTTCTCTGCATTTCCAGGCTCACTGTGTCTACAATCAACAGTGCTGCTGCTCTCCACTGGGCAATTTTCTAACCAACTCCCTTGTGTTGTTGTATCCGGGCACTCCGACGCCGTATCAGACTGCTGGAGTTGATCCAGACATGTTAAGTCTGCTTTGACACCGTCAGAACATTCAGCAGCAGTGTGCAGAGAATCAAATTGCAGCTTCAGTAAAGAAACTCCCTGCAGAATACGGAACAAGACAAAGAAAATGTTAGCTCTTCTTTAAAAAAAAGAAAAAGAAAAAGAAACAACAGACCTGCTCTTCAGTTCTTATCAAGCGCCGACTCTATGATTGCATAAGGTGTTCCACTGGTTATACAAATGAAGTTTGAAGGTTAAAAAATGAGGGCAGTGAAAAGACAAACAATCCAACAATGTTCAGTAGCAGCAGAGCTCCTGGTTTTAGCCAATGTGAGCACAGATAGCGTGCTAAAAGAGGAAGGTGGCATGACTCACCTTGGCATGAAGATGACAAATCAAGTGCAGCAGCTGCTCAACACTCTTCTGAAAGGACGGTGTGTCACGCCCAGGGTGTATGCTCAGTGTCAACGTGTGTGTGTTCAGTTTGGGAAGGTGGCAAAACACCTGAACGTCTTCAGAGACCTGCTGGACAGCGACAGACTCTTCGTCCTTCTCCGGATCGGTCTCAGCCCTGCCGTGAAATAAACACTTAGATCATCCGGAAGGGTCTGCATTGGCTAACACGGAAAGGTTTTAACAGTGATGTCAGCCAATTCACAGAGTGCAGTTTTTCTTCAGTAACTCACATCCTTAAACTTCAAATGGGCTAAGGCTGGTTGTGAAAGTCTATTCCAGTAGTCAGCAAGTAATCAGAGATTAGATGTTAGTAAATGTTAGTAAAACTTTAAAAGTTCCAGATGCCATATCCTGTCCACTAAAAGTTATACTTTTCTTTCCAGTAGTAAAATACACGTACTTAAAGGCCACTCCTAACTGATAAGCTTTCCGAGAAAACATCTCTCCCCCTGCTGCATTTAATTTAAGAGTTGACGGTAAAGTATGTGCAGTTTTTCATTTTTCATATGTTGGTGCTGCACAGGGGAGACGCCTCCTAGTAGGGCAGATCTGTTTGCGTAATCCTGGGTGGACTTCTTTAACACCGAGGCCCGGCAGCTGAGGTCACCAACCAAGGCTACAAGTGACTTCACTTTTCATGAGGCAAATGTAATTACCAGCACATAAAGAGCGAGATGGAGGTCATAAACTGGCTTCAGTGCAAGCTTAGCAACAAGGAAGCTCGCTAAGTGGCAGTTTTCCTTCAGTGTGTGGCATCTTCACTTTGAGTTTAGTGAAACGTCCTCTGCAAAGACATAAAAGGAGTCTCTTTCCACTTTAAGCTCTAAGTCAATGTACTCAAACGCTCCTTTTTCCCCCTCTGAGTTTTAATTTTGAATGAAAGAATTTGACCTCACTAGTCTCTGGAAGATATTATTAGAGGATAATACTTGACAACTTTAAACAAAACACATACATCACCATGCCATTAAACTGCAGAGAGAGCACTGCAGTGTGTTTGGATTAAAGTGGAGCTGCGCATAGTGAGACTGAAAAGGTACTACAAGAGGTCAGTGGAAACAGGACTGAGGCTTTTGTGTTGCAGAATAGTTTCCCATCACTTTAGATTTCCTTGGAACAATACTGGCAGCCCACAACTTTTCAATTTGCCCTCAACTATCTGACTGCAGCTGAAAGTGCTAAGCTAGGCTGCTGCGTGGCTTGGTGGTGATGTTCTTTGAATACTTCTATTGTTCTGTGAGGACAACAGACAAACAACATTGCTATAAAAGAAGGAGGAACCACGCCATCTGCCCTCTGATATATTGACATGGAACTGTTTGTACAGAGAAGAGGGCAATGTTCACTGAACCTCAGGGCTAATGTCACTGTCACACAGTGCGAGGACAGTTTAGACAAGTAAATCTTTTTCAAGCATAGCCATATGACACGAGACGTTCACGTGAACCTGAACTGAATGTTTTGAGAATAATACAAGCACTTACTTTGTGAGGAGCTCATGGAGGCATTTGTGCCCTCGTAAATCCGCAACGGCGGACGGGGTGTCGCCTTGCCTGTTGGCCAAACGAAGGGCTCCTCTTGCCCCAGCCTGCTGAAGCAAGAAGTGTGTAACCTGAAAGAGACCTCGACGTGCTGAGAAATGCAGCAGAGTCTCCTGAGGATTCAGATCTGAGGAAGAGAGAGAAGATGACAAATAAAGACCAAAAGAATCAAAAAGAGAGAGCGTGACAGAGCGCAGCGGTCCGGGGAGCTAAATCGTGGCAAAGCAGCCAACATACCATCAATTGTGGCAGCCTGGCAACACTGCAGAGCAGTCTAATTAAACCAGTTCAGGATCCACGATGACCCAGCATACAACAGACATTTGCACACTCACAGACTGATAAAACCATAACTTGTCTCCTTCCTGCTACGTCCATCAGATGATCAGTACAGGTATCTGCAGGACATAACTGTCATTTTGTGATCAAACCCAGCATGCCGACTGAGTGTAATTGTAATCATGTCTTCTGTGTGCCTGAAAAATACAGACCATATCAAGATTTTGACATGTTCAGTGAATGCGGAAAAGCCTTTGAAGCATCATCGGACAAATGAAAGCAACAACAGTAATGGCTCTATGAATAAATCAAAAGACACCATTTCATTTCAGATGTTAACCACATACCAGCACACCACAGTCCCATTTTTAATTTAAGTCCATTATTAGCCCAGTATATCAGTCAGACTGCTAATAACACCATCAAACACCAAGATCCTCCCTTTCACACATTCAAAGAGACACTAACAGAGACTCATGGACACACACACACACACACACACACACACACACACACACACACAGGCACTTCATCTTTCTGCTAAAGCAACAGGTTGCCAGCAAGGCTCTCTTCAGTACTAAAGGCCGGCTGAGGGCTGTTGGCTATCCCAGAAATTTCCTCGTTTCAAGTTGTGTAATTAATTCTCTCTCAGTCTTCATTGGAAAAGATTATGAAAACACTTCTGGGTCTACAGGAGTTGCCCAAACTTTTGTGTTATTATTAATCTCTTTTACTGCCCAACCACTGGCAAATTTATTGTCAATTTAAGAGGGTACGCTGACATAAGGATGCCCTAGTTTTAAGTTAGTGGGAAATCGAGTCCTGAAGTGCAATAAATGATAAATTGTCAATGGAAAGCAGAACAAGCAGCTCATTGGAGAGAAATAAAAAAGTAATAATATGTGAGAACTGGTAATCTAAAACACCACACAACATTGCAAGCTTGCGAGTTTAAATGTGGTGTTCAACTTCAGTACCCAGATGTCTTTAATGTAGTCAGTAAACTGCATATACAGTGCTTTTGTTTATCACCCAGCTGGTCTGTGGTTATTTATAGCAGCAAAAAGTATTGTTGCTGGTTCCAGATTTCTCTGGACGGTGTTTCTGCACTGTTTATTAGGAAGATTGTTTTTGTTCTTTCGCTTTCATTTGTCACTGCCTATGAGCAGAGGATTTTCTTCCAGTTCGCAGTACAGGAAATCAGATTTATTTGCACAAACAGATAAAATATAAGGCTTTTGGGTTAGACACAAACAGGATGTTCTATATACCAACTCCTCTGTGATTTCTTCTGGGACTATTTTACTCTGCCTAGTGTAGGTTTTAACAGCAAGATATGATCAGCTGGAAAAGAATGAAAAAATAAACTGCAGAACAAATGCTTGAGAACAGGGTAAGGGGCAGAAAACACATTTTCCTTGGTGTTATCAGCATCACAATAATCGTTAGGCAACATTCACAATGCTGGTTGTGTCTGCTGATGAGAGGTTTCAGTCCATTTACTGTGGGCCTTTATGAACAAGCCTGCCCTGATCAACCTCAAGCTAATTGGTCAAATTTAATGCTCCACTTGGCCGAGCTGGGCCGGTGTGGAATGTGAGGTGCCAACAGCAGCAGGAAATGCTTTACTGCTGGGTTTGTTTGCGGTTCCTCAAAACTGGCTGCCATAACAGCCATGTCATTTTCATATTATGAGTGCCAGCTAGAATATACATGCAATTTTAGCTTTCTGATCTGGGACAGAAATCACCAACACAATGTGGCTTCAATGAATGATTGGTCACAACAAAGCAGCTTCACCGCTTCCTGGCAGAGATCCTGGCTTCTTGCTGATTCCCCAATTATTCGGTATAGTTATTCATCAGGGAAATGAGCCAAAAAAAAAAAAAAATCCTTTACCCAAAAGTGACATTTTACTTTTGTAGATAGCTTTGGAGAGAAAACAGAGGAAAGCAGCAAAATCCTCAAAATTCAAAAGCAATTTTTAGCCTTGATAGTGGCTCTCAAAAACTACAAGGCAGAAAATCTGGTACAATCATAGAATGAATACAGACTTTGGTCGTGTGAAATGATTTAACAACTGTCAGAATACTTGCCAGGATATTATCACCTGATTTTCATCTAGCGCCATCTTCAGATCAGAATTTTATTTGTCCAATAGCATCAGTAAAAAAACAAAACAAAAACACCAACATACCCATTAACCTTAGAAAGACTTTGTGGTAATGAGCAAATTTCTGCACTGAACCTTAATTTTGCTAGCGGTTAAATGTGATGAAAAGGTGAAAGAGGTTAAAACGGGTCAGTTATTTTTCTATAGTGAGGATTTCCTTGCTTCACTGGCACAAAGGGAGGAAAAACAAAAATAAATTAACAAATTGGCATCAGCTGATATCTGTATCAGGCCCTAGTTCGCATGCAAAAACATTAAACTAAACTGAATACAATTTTTATTATACAACCTATGTAAGTGTTATTATCTCACCTTTGACATCAGGAAGAATGGTGGGCCTAACCGAATTGTTAGCAGGGCTGCAGGCTCTTTGTCTTATTGATGAATGAAGTAAACAACTAATACATTATGCAACAGTTCTGTTAGTTGACTTTAGTGAATTTAAAGGCCACAGATCATTGAGTCATCTACTTTAATGGCACTGATTGACAACCCACGGGCTTTAGATAATTTGACACTAAATGCACCTGTTCAAAACCGAGGAATCAGTTGGGAACTGTCAACCATCTTTAATGATATGCGCAGTTTTTCCAGGTGACGTTCCCAGACGACAATAAATGGGTGGCTACAGTTAGAGCAGCGAGTGCTGCGTGCCCACAGCGTGAAGGATGACTGAGATGAAGCACCGTCACCTCCACCTATAGTCTAATGCTATCCATCATCTGACAGATCTGATAAATGGAGAGCCGAGTCGCGCTCCTCTTCCCTCCCCGCGGCTCGGCACCGCTGAGCGTCTTGTATTGAAGCTGTGACATATTGTGAAGCAGAGCCTATTAGAGCACACATCACTCACCACAGCATGAAGGCGCCTTCCACATCAACAACATGACAACTGACTTCAATGCAAAGGAGCCTGTACGTGTGTGTCCATCGTTAAAGCGCTCTGACACACTTCACAGTAACAAGTGGATCGGATCTAATCGGGATGAAGGTCAATACTGATAAGCTAATTTTTGATATGACGAGTTTTCTTCCTAGAACAATAACAAACTCAAAATTTTAAGAAGTGTGTGAGCTTTTCTGATCTCCACTCCGCATTACTCCAGTCTTCCCAGCTTTTTCTTTTTTTTCAGTCAGTTTTGTCTAAAATCTTGCCGGCTCTTCTGGTTTGGCCTAATATCCAAATCCAAGTTTAACCATTAGCTATTATCTGAGAAATAGCCAGAGGCTGAGGCAGCGCTCTAACTACTCCCAAAAGTCTTGTTTATGCCGTTTCACAGAGAGCAATTACCTCGCAGAGTTTATCATCTGCATTGGCTCGTTTGGCTTCCTTTAACTGATTAAAGTTGTCAGAGTCAATGACTGGAGAAAATTGGCACTTTGATTTTAATAAAAATGTATGTTTGTTTCCACTGATGTAGCAGTTTCTCACTACCTCAAGTGCTCAGGCTTCAGCAAAGGGATACTCAGCTCTATTTGTTCATACTAATACCAGAGTTAGAGATAAATCCGTGTAGTGGTGTGTTCTGTAAATACACCAGTGTTCAAATACAATGTACGTATTTGAACACACGCACTCTATTTTAACTCTGGAGTTTTCTGCTCTGGAGATCAAACCTGCTGTTTACGTCTTTATTTTGACCATTTAAAAACAGCTGACTAGCCACTATTTTCACTATCTTTAAATTTTGCACACGGTCACCTCATATGATAATACAGCACCTTTGTTCATCATGTAACAAAGGTCTATAGAGAAAAGCTAAACATGACCCATTATATTTGAAAGACAAGGACAAGATATTGGGCCTAGGTGGGATGTTGTCACATGGAGAAATGTCGCTTGCATCAGTTAGCCCAAATATTATAAAATGTTGACATTTTGGTTTGATCATCTTCACCACATGTCTGTCTATGGATGTCTCCATGACAAACCTTTTTTCAATTATTTTACAATGCAGGCAACAAACAGAGGGGATGCAAAAAAAAAAATAACCAACTTTACAGTCCTGCTGCTAGGAAGGTCAAATCCAAGGTCAAAACAGAGGCCAAAAGTCAAACAGAGCTAATAAACAATTTGAAATCTGCCACATTTCATACCTGACACCTATAAGTCATAGAAACTTAATCAAAATTGGAAGATTAAATAAGTGGCCTTCTGAAATTATTTGCCAAAATTCACCAGTAAAGATGTGCTTCAATCATTTTTGTTCCAACAAATAACTTTTAGTCTTAGACATAACCTCGTGGCATATCATGAAGACTAGAGCCAACCCAACCAGTTTTAAGTGTCACTTTCACTTTCAGTGAGCCAAATTACTAAAGTGTGATTACATTTATTTCACAAGCATTTAGGCTGTAGACCAATGTGAATAATCCAAGTACAGAAATATTTCTTATAGATAAAATGAACACACATAGGCGATGATGTAACGGTGTCAGCTGTTGCTTTCAACTGCATAAGCTCACTGTGAGAGACCTGAAGTTGCTCTTTGATTGTGTCAGAATGGCACTTCACATGCATCTGACACCCCAAAGAAAGAGTGTGATGACAAACTGAAGCAACTCGAGGGCTTCTGGTATCAATCAAGCCATAAATGGTATGTTGCAAATGTTTATTTTGGGATACTTTGAAAGCACCTGTCGTATATTATTAAGCTCTTAAAAATAAATATCCAAATATAAATAAATAATAATGAATATATAATTTTTATATATTCATTGCTTATTGCTTTCATGTTAAGCTTTTTAGCACATCTATGATTCTCATTTGCAGCTCCAGGATTTTTACTGTTGGATTCTCCCAGAGTAGCTTTGCATGAGTGACAAAAAACAAAATAATACATTTTTATATTGGGCCTTCATCCGCAGTCTAAAACACAAGGTTTGAGCTCCCTCTGCACTCTTTAAACCAGCCCTCTTCTGATTGGCTGCACCTCTCAAACTCAAGAGTGAAAAGCAGGTGGATGTGGTTGCTGTTAAGCCAGAAATATACTCCTGAGATCACAGTTTAAACTGAGAGACCACAATAAATATGTAGAAAATTTAAATTGCCAATATTCTTATGACATACTCATATTTCTACAAAAAATGTTCAGCATTAAACCCTTTATTAGTGAATAAAACTGGTTTTAACTACCCAATACCTGATCATTTTTAGCTTGAATATGACCATGTCAAGAGAATAAAGGCATTTGAGTGCCTTTAAGTATTTTTTTTTAAATGCCTTGGAGGTCTTGGATTTTTAATTCCCAAATCCTCTTCAAAAAGCACCTAAAACATTATTTGTATCTAGGAAATGCTCCTCCCCAAACACTCTTCAGTGGATCAATAAGACTTCATCTGCTGTGACCACATTGACATTAGCACAAAGAAAATACACAACATTATTAAAGACACTACCTGGCAGTGTCAAGTCAATGGAAGATTTAAGACAAACTATCAGGAATTCATCTTTTGAGTAAAAATTGTTTACATCCATATATTAGCCAATTTGTTGATCAAATTTCTCTGCTACCTGAAAAATGTGTATTTTGACAGCAAGTCTGGTCAAAGCTAGATTTGCACTTCTGCATTGGATTTTTAACTGATGATATCATCACTTACTGCATAAAATCAAGATGCCACTACTTCAGTATGTGCAGCTGAAGAGGATGGTGTCAGGTGGTACCAAATCTTCACTGGGTGTTTCAACCCTTAAATGAACAACCCTCTAGTTGGCAAGTAAGCAATGGTGTTGAAATCTCTGCCCATCAATTCCAGACCTCAGGCTCACCTCCTGCCATGTCCGACAGCAGGTTCTTTCTGCTGCCTCAAGTCAAATTCTGCGCACAGCTGTTTCAAATCCTCCCCTGATATTATCTGTGAGCACCGTCCATGTAGATCGCACTAGCAAACATCTAAACCAAACTTCCACAATAAACAGCCACTATCTCTTTTTGTACTCCAGGAAAAATAACTGGAACATACAGTACTGCCTCCTTCGCATCTCTGACCAAGTCCATCCTCATCTCCACCCACAGAGAGTTCCACAATTGCCCTTTTTATTCTGTTGTAGCCGTGTTATCAGCTGATGGATTAGTCAGTATTGTTTTCACTTTGTGGGTCTGTGAGTGTTTATGCATGTGTCCTCGGGGCAAAATAAGAGACGTAATACAGCATGAACTACAACAAAGGGGGTTCTGGACAATTTTCTAGGTGTTTAAACAACTGTCTTGGGACAGATGATACCACTGTTTCAGCACAGCAAGAGCAAATCAAAAAACTTTACAGCTATGTGGTTCAGATGAAAATGGAATGCCAGATTCAACAACAGCTGGTATAATACTATGGTTGCATTTATGCGGAAACATGTCTGATATGGTCTCAGGTCGCATATATAAGCTCCACAACAGCAAGTTAATAATAACAGAAATTTGGGAGAACAGTGGAAGGCAAATGTCACAAGCAAAGTCACATTTAAAGCAAAGTGCCAAGAAAAGACTAACCATAAACTGCTGAAGAGGGAGTGATCGTTCTACAGAGATAAGCTGCGACCACAGATACCTCTAAGTTAGTAGTACATTTAAACTTTCATAGTGTCACACATTTCCAATTTTTATAAAATGATGGATTTCTTGTGTTTAAAATGAACGAACAGTTTAGTGATTTAAATTTTAAGCTAGGAGCTGAAATGATTCCTGCTGGGTTTAGGTAGCCAATTTAAATTTACAGACTGTGAAGGTCAGACAGAAGCGGTACCTTAATGTTATTTCTTTCCCAAAAGCTGTGTCATAACCAATTTCAGACTAGCGTTGTGAGACTGGATAACTTCTACAGTTGCACAGGCTAAGTTCATCTGTCAGAAGGGGCGACAGCCGACTGTGATTAACCCAAACATCAGTGCTCCCGCTGTCGTAATGTAAAATGTGTTCAGTTCCACTCTGCCGTTGCAGTAATGGAGGTGGTGTTCCAGAGTGAGAGTGCAATATATAAATCATCCACCAGATTTGTCTATAAAAATAGAAGTTAAATGGAAGTCACTTTCAGTAACGCATGCTGCAAAGCACACACATACCCACACAACGTGGAGACAGTAAACAGCTTGTTACATCCATGCACTCATCTGAACTAATCAGTAACAAAGTCTTGTTGTTTTGACCAGTAATTACAGTGTCTCTCTGAAAATGCCAAAAAAGAATCCTCAGTCTTCCTAGTCTGCTGATATCTGCTCAACAACATAAAAGGAGCCAGATAAACAAACACACAAACAGCAGGGTCATGTGTGTCAGTATGTGTTATACAACCATAATTTGTCAGTATGTTCCTGCATCACTGCAGAGACATTCTGCCTGTTTCAAAGGGTCCACTGCCCTCCAGACTCACCAGTGCTGTTGGATCGTTTGTTCCCCAGTAAATTCCATCCTGTAGGCAGTTTGAGGTGGTGTAGGGCCAGTGCCAAACTCTCATCCAGACGCTCACACTCCTGCAGAGGAATCTGACACTCATCCAGCAACAGCGCCCCATCGAGGCCATCAGCCCGGCCCACAGTGCTCACCTGTGTGGAGGGTGATTACAGAGATGAGTCGAGTTTCATAGAGGTTGAAGTGAGCCGTAGACTAATGGGAGCACTCATTTTAAAGCGCTCAGCATGAAAGCATTAACCAAATGCCTTTTGAATAATGAAATATGTTAATGTAGGAAGAAACATCCACATGAGTGTATCAGCGCTAAGCTCGATTTGGGGATGCACTGTTTTGACAAAAAAAAAAAAAAAAATCATGTTCGGATTTATAAATTGGAACATGTTCCATTAAGTTTGAGTGCCCAAGAAAATTATTTTATCTTGTCCTACTCCTCAGAAAAGCAAACTCATAAAATTTCTATGGGATGATAAACTATGCTGAAAAGAATTCATTAATTGAACGCCAAGAACTGTCAGACATTAGGCCTTGTCAGGAAAGAAACAATAACATGGCAATCTTTTGTTTAACTGTCACTTTGTACACAGAGCTGTATTACTTGTAACCAGTGGTAACCAATTTTGTTTTCCAGCCCTGTGACAAGCTTCAGTATTTCTATTATTCAACTGATGACATACAGTAGGAATAGAAATGACTTGTCTTTCTGCTCACCAGGAACTGGGCCATGTCAAACGCCAAATCCTGAACAAAGCTGAATCGATGCTCGGCCAATGGCGCCACGTGAACCAGATGGGATTGTGGCTCCTCGGGGACACCTCGGGTGACTGAGCACAAGGTGACCAGCACCACTTCGCAGCAGTCATGAGCTACAAGAGACACAAAAAGCAAGGGTGAGAAGAGAGAAAGAGGGGATTACAGAGAACTGACCTGTGGAGGACAGTACCATAGTGTACAGCATTTTTCACAACGACAAATAGATTATATTGTGTATTTTCAGTGTATGAGATTAAACGTTTCTTTGTTAGGATTAACCCATTTCGGCTATAGATGACTGGCCTTGCTATAAACTCAAGTCATATGATCTTAAATAATAACAATACAACAATATTTCAACTAAACAATAAAAAATTATTGCCCTAGCTAAAACACTAGTTGCTTGAACTAATTATTTATACTTTATTGATGTACAATGCCAGCTAACTGTAGGGTCTAAGATGTCCTCAGATGCCAGTCTTGCGGAAATTAACTTTAGTTACTTCAGTTACAGAGTATATATATTTCTGTTGATGCAGCTAGGGTTGCCAACTCCCTGAAAAATAAATAAGGGACACCTCGTGGCCAGGGCCGGGCGACCCAGTTGTCTTCACCCTTCCCAGTGTGGTGAATTTTCTAGCTCTTTTTTTGTGTGTGAAATTATTTTTTTAACCATTTGACTTGAATTTGATTTAAGCAGATGTGTATTCTTTGTGATATGAAAGCATTTGAAACAAATGATCATTTAGGCCATTTATTTTTAGCTCAAAATGACAACATTAACACAATAAAACAGGTCTCTTTCTTAAACAGAAGCCTGTCATGCTTAACTTTTGAGAATATAAGTAAATCTTTCTTTAAAAGAACTCTGTCCTGCTTAACTTAAAATAATAGAAAACAATAGAAAGAAAAATATTCTTGTAACAGTGCACATTTAGTGCATTTAGTACAATTGGCTTCAGCTGAGGTATTATTTCAGCTTTTCTAATGCTAATCAGCTGCTCCTGTTTGTAAACCCACTTGTTCCCATGATTACGCATCTTAACTCATCATCATTATTCATCTATGTATTACTTTTATGTATTAGTCATCTATTTGTTGTAATCATCTATCCTTGCAGTTGTTTATTACACAAAATAAGTTATATTATCACACTTCTGGCCACATAGCGCTGATATTCACTGCACATGCCCATATTAACTTTTTCCAGCCAGGTGTTTTCCTTTTCCCATTCTTCCCTTTCTCTGAGGGGAACAAACATTATGCTGGGCAGACACTGTGCGGTTTTAGGCCCATTTTGAGACGATTTTTGAGTGATCGGACCGATTTTGGCCTTCATCGTGCATCGTGTAGTATACGTGGGGTAACGAGAAGTGATTAACACCTCACGACCAGCTCCCGATCATCAATCGCTCGTGAGCCGCTCACACTGCTCACGCGCAAACACGTAAACGTCGGTGAAAAAGACGGAGCAGCACGGCTGTGCAGCGTGTGATCTGGACACAAGCGATGGAGGCACAACTTGTAGAACTTCGGAAAGCTCATCCGAGCCTTTTCGATGTGGCCTCACAAAATTATCACGACCACAACAACCGTGAAAATAGTTGGATTTACATTGCTGCTCAATCACAGCTGCCTGATCAATGTTTTTCATTAGCAGTTTAGCAAAGTTGATGGTGGTGTGTGTGTCTGTGTGAGTGAAAGACAGAGAGAGCGAGCGACAGATTTTCTGTTATAACCTTAATTTTATGGACGCACAGTGTGAGCACTCAGGTCGCATCAGAGCATCGGGCGGTATAGTGTGAGACCTGCATCGTGACCTACCAACTTCTAACCCTGCGAGTCAATCGTGCAGTTTGAGCAGGAGCTGAATAACGCGACTGAAAAAATCGCACAGTGTCTGCCCAGCTTTAGGTGTACTGTCGTCCGAGACTTGCACCGCAGTGTCGGCGTTTGTTTCCCTGTTGGCCATGCTTCTTGTTGTGGTCATCTGTTGTCTTCCGGTATTTTCTCCGTAAGCGACCTTTCCTCGACCAATGAGATGAGCGGTAATCTGAATTGTCATACTCGAATTGTCATAAGTGTGCTGTCAGCTCATTGGTCACAAAGCAGGAGAGGGGCTGGGAATTATGTTTTCAAACAAAGCGTTAATTCCATAAACATTTATAGACTACTTTTGATTCTCACTGTATTACGGGACAAAGTGCGTCCCTTATTAGCTCAATACGGGACGTGTACTTTTGTTTCTAAATACGGGACGATTCCGTTTTTTAAGGGACGGTTGGCAACCCTAGTAGATGCAGCCCACACAACTATCACAAATCATCGCAGCAATATTGGCTACTTGCACAGTTCATGTCGCAGGTTTAAAATAGATTCACTGCATGAGGTATAAAATGCATAAACGATATTTCTACGCAAAATTTTTAAACTCATCTGCTGAATTGTGTTCAGTTTTGAGCGTTTTCTTGTTGCGAGACCCAGCTTATGCAGGCTGAATCAATTGAAATATTGGTCACTGACAGTATAGTAAAGTAAACATCGTCAACGCTGAAGTGCCAGAAAACGACACTTTCTGGAGTGGCCACTAGTGGCTGGCAAGAACTATTTTGGTTATGCTAAGCTTGAACAAGCACTATACAGTGGGTACAAATAGGGCTGTGCGATATGACCAAAATCTCATATCCCGATATAAGAATCTATCGTCCGATAACGATATAAATCACAAAAATGTAACATTTTCTGTAAATTCTGTGAATCTCGGGCAGCTCGACTTGCGGGAAGTGTTTCCAGCTGCGCGTCATGTAGCTGGAGTCGAGTGTTTTAACCGATGCATGAAACGATACATTTTTAGACATAAGTTGTAAAGGCCGCCGTTTTCTTTGTGAGTATTTATTACACGGCGTGCTGCGGGGAAAAGCCTGTTCTAACGTTTGAGTCTAAGGTTTATTTTTTAGCACCTGGCGGCTCTTTTTTACTTCTCATCCGTAAATAATCTGCTCTTTCACGTGATTCAGTTTATTTTGAAAAGTCTCAACAGGATCTTGAGCTTTATTGTGAAAGGTTTATGTGGAACATAAACAAGCGGACACGCGATGGTTTACCGTCGTTGTTGCTAACGACAACGCATAAAAACAGGCGCTTGTCCGTCCGTAGTGTGGTTATATTAAATATAAGAGAAAGAGAGAACTTTAAGAAATTAATATAGCCACTACAGTGACCATCAAAACGATGAAAAAATATTGCCGTAAACAGTTTATTTTGCGACACCACGAAACAAACGATAGCGTAAAATGAAACGATAGACGTTTTTATATCGTCATCCGATATATATGGTTATATCGAACAGCCCTAATACAAACTCATTTAAAGATGTGCTGTTACAGGCAGCTGCAGTTATTTGCAACAGTAAGCCTTACCTCACTATTTTTGATTCAATGTAATATTAACATAAAATGGTATAAGAAGATTGTATTTCAATTTTTGATGAATTAAAGTTGTTTGGGTTTTGTTACCCTATGAACGAGTCCACGTAGTCACAAAAAGAAAAAACAGTCAAGCATAACTACGTCCACACCACTGTATGTCACTCAGACCCTAATGGGTTTGTGGATGCCGAAAATATAATCAAGGCTTGAGATGGCACCATCTAAAACACTAATGTTGTGGATATCGGGTGACACTGGTTAGCAGCATTCATCTTTTACATATAGTCTATGGTTAAATGGGTCAAATATGATGGAGCGTTAAACCGGGCGCAGAAAGTGATGACGCGGCGATCCCAACATAATATGTGCTGTAAGCTCAATTTCACATTACCAACAGTCCATGCTGGCTCAGAACAATTACATAAAAATTATTAACAAGTCAGGTGTTAATGTTATTAGTAACACCTGTACTGTTCTTAGATAAATCAAAATATTGCTTTAATTCAATCTGCTCTAATAAGAGGAAATCAAGCTTAAATTTAACTTTTAAAAAAAAAGTATCTTTATTCAATTTAATCACTCTATTAATTGAATTTTTTCTCATTTTAGAAGCACTACTTGGATGAAATGGTGAACTAATTTTGTCACAGTAATGAGCTACAAACGAGTGCAGAGCTGCAATGCTGATTTAAATCCTAATTAATACAAATAAATTCACAATATTATTTCACTTAATGGAACATGTGTTAAATTCTTCTGACTAACAGCCATTTACTCACAAGTCACATCGCAAAGACTGAACAAAGCACACTAATGTCCACAGTGGTTTCCATAACTATTGCTTAGGGAGTGGGGCAGTGCCTGTCCCCCGACATGGGAACTCAACCTCACTCTCTGAACCCACTTTCCTCCCCAAGAAACCATAGAGAAATATATTAAGTAGAAATCAATTTATCCATTAATGCATTTGTTCATTTTCTTATCCACTTATTCAAATCTGGGTCACAAGGAACTGGAGCCTACCTCAGCTGGTGAGAAGAGCAACAGGCCCGTCAAATCAATTTAAAAATATAACATTTTTAATCTACTACGTTTTGGTATCATTTACAGTCCGACTAGTTTATCTTCCTTCCTCTGCTCTGGATTTCACCATGTGTAAAGTGTACACGGTGTGTAAAGCCCCTCCTTTTGCCCCACAGTGTATAGTCGAGCAGAGTAGAAAGCCATAAAACAAAGTTACTTGAGTTGAGGACAACTTGATATATTATTGCGGTGGCTCTTTTTTGGCACGGCCCACTTCAGAAGCAGGAAAAAGTACACACAACGCACACCTCACTTTTCATCGGTTATTTACAATGAAAAAAGATTCACTGTTAATTTCTCCTAAACGTGGGTACATGTTATCAGTGCAACTGCACAGACATACTTTTTTGAAGAAAAAAAAAGCCTACATATTTTCCCTAAAAAACAAGAAAACAATCATATTAATTCAAGTTCATTTCACTTTATATTTTTCACCTTGCTGTGCCGCCCCAGTTTTGACATCCTCTGTGTTACTGTAGCAATTGCTTTTTAAAATGTGTTAATTTGGCAAAATAAGATTGAAAAGTTGCTCATTTTTTCAGTTTTGTCTAAAAGAAGAAAACAAAGAGAAAGTCAGGGAACACTGCCATGGTCCATCTGTCCACTCCCAACAAGATGTCAACACACACAGCCAGTTTCAAAACTGATTTCCCACTTGTAGTTATTAAGCATTGCATGAATTCACATATAATTTCTGGAATCTACTCCACGTCACTGTGTGCTCTACAACAAGATCAGCCACATTTGCACGTCTGCAATACCCTTCGTTCTGGGAGAAAACTTTCTGTAACGACAGATCCATATATTTTATAATTTGTCAATGTTGTATGTCGCTACCAACGCAGTCAGAAGGCTACTAGGCAGCTTGATAAATATTATTTGAATCAGAGATATCTTAATCCAAAGCAGTGATTCAGTGAGTTTGCAGTCATTTTCCCAGGTCCCCTGGGAACTCTATCCCGCGACCTAGTTGATCCCTTTAGAGCCCAGAAGGGCCTGATGGAGAAAGCATTGAAGCAAAGCTAATCTGCTGGTAAAGTGACACCAACTCCCTCCCAACTTTAAGCATTAATTTAGTGCAACTCGTACCAAGATAAACACAGTTTATAATCCTGCCACTTTTATTTTCCTCTGTGGAACGTGGACCATTGAAGGAAGCAATGACGTCAGTGACATTTCTTATATCATAAGACCAGATTTTATTACATGAACATTTTGGTAGCATAAACCCTTGTTACCACATCCAGAACATGTGACCTCCAGTAAGCTCTGATGTTCCCTAAGAGCTCGGGATTTTTATAATGTAATATTTATTCTTCGAAAGCCCAGATGGTCTGGAATAACTTAATGTCATAGCTGATTCCTCTTATGCTCTGATCAGTCAGTGACTGAAAATATTCAATTAACATGAACTCTGGCCACAGGGTCACAGCTGCATTGCAGTTTTGACTACCTACTTTGTATGTGCAGAGATCTCTGACCTTTTCTATCAAGGTTTCCTGTTGATTCTTGTTTATTTTCCAAGAAAAAGCACAGAAAAACAATTCAGACCAAATATGTTCCATTTTGCAAGTAGAAAAAGTGGGAAAAGCTCCAAGAGGAGTGATAAATGGGATAGACTCTAGAAAGTGAAGTGATTCCTCTTTCTCCAAAACAAAACATTAGTTTAAAATGAGGACAACGGTAGCAGATGATTAATCTTTTTTTCCTCCTTCCTGGTTTAACACCTCTTTTAATATTAATTTGGGATGCAGCACATGATGAATACAGAAGAATTTAAAACCACCTTTTAAGATAATGTTCAAACGTTTCCTCAGTTCTTCTGGAGCACTGCTACTACGTTTTGACTCAAATACACAAATGCAATACAAGTGATCTGCCATAAAGTCGACTTTTATGATGGCTATAAAGGTTTAGAAATGAGGTCAAATTACTGGGGGTGCTCTTTCATGTATGTAAATGCTGATACTGTACTGAATTACAATAAAGTGGACAGGTGCTAAAGTAAAGTGACAAGTAAGGGGATAAAATACATTTACTTTGTTAGATGGACAAGTTCAGTTGCTTCTTAATGCAAATATTTACTTAGTCAATCATGAGGAAATGCAACTCAATGCATTTATGCATGTAGACATGGTCAAGACAACCTGCTGAAGTTCAAACTGAGTGTCAGAAAGGTGATTTAGGTGATTTTGAACATGGTTGTTCAAAATGGGCTGGTCTGATTATTTCAGAAACTGTTGATCTACTAGGATTTTCCCACAAAACCATCTCTAGGGTTTATATAGAATGGTAAGTAAAATATAAAGCGAGCAGCAGTTCTCTGGGCAAAAGAGCATCGCTGCATGTGAAACGCATTAAACCTTGAAGCAGATGGGCTATAGCAGCAGAGAGCCAAACTGGGTGCCAGTCCTGTCAGTTAAGAAACTGGTCAGAATTGGTGTAAACATAACAAAAGCAAACATCCTCCCTTTTATCAATGATTCGGGCTCTTCTTGGCAGGGCTCTTTAGTAACAGCTGAGCATCAAACACCACAGCCTACCCATGTTTTGTTGCTGTCCATCCCTTTATGACCACAACATACACCTTTTTCTGAAGGCTCTTTTCAGCAGGATAAGATGTTCTGCCAGAAAGCTCAAATCAACTCAGCTCCAACTGGTTCCTTGAACATGACAATGAGTTCACCATACTTAAATAGTTTCCACAGGCACAAGATCTCAATCTAACAGAGCACTTGTGGTGTGGATGTGGTGGAATGTATCGCGGATGTAACTATGTGATGCTGTCATGCCAGTGTGAGCCAAAATCTCCATTTGCTGACGCAGACGTAACATCTTGCTGAATTTACGTCAGCAGTTCTTAAGGCATGAGGCGGCCCAACAAGATACTAACAAAACATTCCTAAATAAAACAGCTGGTGCACTTTCATAGAGCATTAGCTTTAGTTGTTAATAATCCAGGCTAATCTTATTTAAAAGTGTCTGCAAACACAGTCTCTAACAAATATTAAATGCTGTAGGTGGAGCTGCCATCCTTTGGGTGCTAGTAAGCTGCAAGGCATTGTGGGTACGATGGCTTACCGGGACACAAAGCCTGCAAGGTGTCATGACTGCTCCTCAGGGTGCTGGTCAGGTGCCTCTGTGTACTGCCAGCGAACAGCAGGAAGTAGTCCACGCCCTCCTCGCTACCAGCCAGCTCGTCATCACTGAGCTGTACTGTGATAACACAATGACCCTGCAGAGGCACGCAGACGGAACGTTAGGAGGGAAAAGGAAAAACAGAAAGAGACAAAAAGAAAAGACATGTTTATAACATGAAATGGGCACATTATCATCCACCTGCAGATGCCTGCAGTCTAACTCAGCCCTCTTCTCAGTGGCCTACATGTCTTGGTTCATCTGCTTAGCCATAGATACCAATCTAACGCCATCAAGTCAGTGTAATTCAATCACTGTTTGTCACTTTAGATGCATTTATTGGCTGCAATACCAGGTGTGAACTAGACTCTGGACAAGTGGATACCAGATTTTAAGAGTGAATAATAGTGCGTGCGGAGACTCCTGATCTTCTTAGCACCGCAGTTGTTTATAGCAATTACATTAACGCCTCAAATTAAATATGGTAATGTTTGATTGCTGATGAAATGTTACACACCACATCATTAACAAAGAAACAAGCAGACAACATGGAGGAGCAGCTGGACGTCTGCAAAACAGTGTGAGCACAGTCACCATCAGAGAACAGCACAACAAGACAATGAAGCACATTCAGCTTAGAAATCTAATACAATAATAATCATCACAACAACAACTAAAACAAAAGTCTTTAAAAAAAAGAAATTTGAATAAACAGTCTTCTCATGTAAGCTGGATTTCCTATTAGCCCTTTTTTGTTAGAACATTACAAATAAAAATATAATGAAATAAACACCACAGTGTAAGCTAAGCAGCTAAATAGGTTCAGGATGGTACTAAAAACACAGCCTGGTCAGTACAAAAACTATGCTGTTTGTCCTTTTTCATGTATTCTGCATCATCAGCAGGTGCAGATGCTAAGTTTGTGCCTTGGGGTTCAGCATTGCCATGGCTCTTTTAGTACGCAGGATTTTGTTTTTCCACCATTAAATGCTTCCAACCAGAAATTACAGGTGAAAATTAACTTATAACTGGTATTTATTGTATACTGCCACTGGCCAATTAACTAAATAAAATAAAATAAACCAAACCATCAATTTGTCTACACATTTTCTTAATACATTTAAAAGTACAGTTTTAGTGACAATTGGCTGATTTGTGACAGAGCATCAATGTGTCATCTGAGGACATCGAGGAGGAGAAATAGTAACAAAAAATAGGGATATTGTTCAGAATTAGCTGCTTTCCACTGTAGGACTGCAGCTTCTTGACATGGAGGAGGGATAATGGGACATTTCAACCCACTTAATCTGGCCACCGTTGCAGTCTTTTTACTGGCCTCGTCCAACGTGAGCAGTCTGTCGTGACGATCTGAGCTTAACGGGGTTAAAGGTGTCTCCTCCTTCTCTTATAAAATGGGAGCCTCCGGGCCATGTTCCTCGCAGGCGGATATCAACAGGTGGACAGCAGCGAGGCAAACCAGCAACCCCAACATTGCAAGGTCTCTGTTTGGCAAGCCACTACTGATGCTTAACAATGTGAGGGGGCAAAATGTGCTCAAAGACAACCACATAGCCCAGAGGCCATACAGCCAGAAAAAAAGCCTTCAGTAACCTTCAGACAACCAGGACTGCGCACAATGTAAAGGGTGTAGGCTTTTCTATGCACAGCCAGTATCAGTTTTAAAAAGCAGAGTCACTGAAGTAAATGAGTAGTAGATGGGAGGAAGCCAGCAGGCATGACATTTTCTCCATTAAAAACTCATCTCTTATCCTGAGCCCAGATTGGAAATTAGGGCTTGGTGCTATTGAAAGGATTGGTACCTCAGAGGATTTGTGAGTTTGTACTCCATGTGAAAATGAAAACGTATTAGTGTGAAATAAGTTCCACATTTTCACAACGAACAAAAGAGAAGCAAATGGAGAAATGGTTTTCTCTCCATCGCTGGAGGCGAGTGGGAAATTACCTCAGTCTGAATACCACTCTGCTGCTTTTTGACACAATAGGTGCTCAGATTTCTTAAAGCAGCCCACCAAAATCTCCTTATTCCACCAAAGTTAATACCCACCTTTGTAAATAACATTATAAGCGATTGATAATTTCCTAACAAAGAAAAACACTTTAAAGGGGACAAAATAAATAGCACAAATCTTAGAATATTCAATCTTGGTGTTTGAAATTCAATTATTTAAACAGAAGAAAATTACAGCATAGATCTGAATGATCAGATCAACCAGATCTGATCAGTTCCAGTACTTCAAATATGTCGGCAGGAGGTGGGAGTGAAGGTGAAAAGCCAGAGATGTGAAACATCTGCTGGAGAAGGGAGGAAACGAGCACACAGAAGCCCCACAATAAAACTAACCCTGCTGACATTAAGTTTTCAAAACAACAGTAATTAAAATGGGAAAAGGGAAATATTGCAGTGACTCTCCAGCTTAATATAGAAAAACAAACCTGTGGTTTTAAAGCGGTGCTCAAATGGATGTCTTTCAGCCACACTGTATGACTGTGCTCTCTGCTGGTTATAAGTACTTAACTAAGTGACCTGCTGGGGTATTGACCTGCTAATCATGGAGCTTCAATAGGAAACAGGCAGCTTTTAAGCAGCATCAAAAGCACAGCTGGAGACTATGAACCCAACCCCCTCTTTTTAAATATGCATATACGTGTAGCCTTTTCCACACATCCTGCTGCAGCGCTGGTTTCATCTGTCCAGGTAAGGTAAGGCTTGGTTTTAAGCATTTGCATATACTGTTACGACTTCACACTGATAATTATTTTTAAACTTATATTGAAATTTTAGTGATTGTTCACTTAACTCAGGCTTTGTTTCTTACTACAGGCAGCTGTATCCTTCACTTCACCACCCAAACTAATTGTCACTTGTTACTTAAATCCAATAGATCTTCATTTGTATCTTTTTGTGCACTCTGTCACATGAAATCTGCGATAACAGCACATTTTTTAAAAAACAACAACAAAAAAAACATCCTTTAATGATGTTCATTAAAAAGTTAGCCTCAAAGTTTATGGGTGTAATTGCTTGGCATTGTGATTCATCCTTCGTGGCATTAAGCCATTTTTATTTTTACAAGCAACTAAAGCCAACTCAACATGAGACCCTTCTTTTGGAAGCCATATATTGCAACCTTCTGCATGGTTTACCCCTTGCTGCTTTTGTTCCCAACATACAATTTCAAAGCCAATTTACGGAGCAAAACCGGCCCCTGTTTACACACCAACATGAAACATTGGCAGAGCAAATTAAGCAACCCACAACTTACAAGTCTGCTGACATACAGAGCATCCCTTGTACCTTCAGGAGGTAAACATGCACCAAGCAGCATTCTTCATGCAATGAAATGTTTGTATTGCCAATATGTGAACTGACTGCAGCATAATCTAAAAAATTAGAGCTTCAGAAACTGTGTAACTAGCAGATCATCAGAGTTAGCAAGTAAGCTAATGTTAGCTAGGATAATGTATAATAAACCTAGTTGTATCAAATGAAACCCTTCTGGCCAAATATTAATGTCAGTAAAACTGGGGCAAAACTTCTTTTAGCCAGAAATTCGTGGAGCAAAATACCAGCATGACTAAGGCGTAAGGAAGTCCTGTGACTGACTGACTGTTTACGTTATTACAAATGTTACAAACAAACCATTGCCACATTCACGCAGCAAGGGACGGGATTTTTGGGATATTAATTTATACAAAAAAATCCAATAGTTTATGCAGCAATTTTAATTCTAATCTAAAAGACACCCCCCCCCCTTATTTTTCCTGTAGTCTGGTTTAATGTGCTATTAAAACATTAACAAAAATAAACCTATAAACTGTTTGCCCACAAAAAAAAAAAAGAAAAAAGAAACTGCTCAAATTTACCATCCGTCAGACCAAGAAAAGCTGTTTTGTGTGGGACGCCTTTAAATAAGAACAAAAATGTGAAATATCACGAAGGCTACTCCAGGTGAAGCTAACATGTCATACTGATTTTAGAGCAGTCTGCTCTGGGGGACAATCTTTGGGCAATAATCCTAATACTATACTGCCAGCAGTGAAAATCAAAGTATTTTTGCCTGAAATGTCCAACCCTGAGGTTGCTTTATTGCTTGATATAGATACAGGCAATGTAACAAATAGGTCACAAAAGCTAAACCAGATAACTTCACCAGTTAATGTCATTCATGATACCAACTTGTGTACTGTGTCAAATGGTATTGAATTTAGCAGCATGCACATAACAGTGCAAAGTAAATGTGTATGTATGTATGACCCACAGTCCACAGTAGCAGCCAAGAGCAATACAACACTGGCTGTTAGCTATCAATCTGTAATCTCCCAGCATGTGCAGCTTTATCATTTCAAAGTCAATTTTGTCTTTATTATGCTAATAATCAAGAAATCACTGTGGCGGTCTCTTTATTGCTTTGAAAACTAAGTACTCACAGGACAGCTTATAGAACTCCCTTTATAACTTGAAGTTATCAGTTCCTGTATCCTTTTATTAGGCTCTCGTATCTTTGTGGGGAAATGTTGACCGACTCTTCTTTACAGCTTAGCTTTATGCATACCTTAACGTCCCACAACAACATTTCAGCCTGACTGAGGTCTGCACTTTGGGCGATTGCAACACTTTTCTTTTTCAGCTATTCTGTTGTAAATTTGCTACTGTGTTTGGGATCATTTTCAGCCAAGCTATAGCTGTCTGACAGCTGGCCTCACATTTGACTAGAATACTTTGGTACATAGAAGAATTCACAGCTCACTCCATGACTGCAAAGTGCTCAGATCCTTAGACTGCAAAAGAGCCCGAGTTATCAACCATCAACCACTGCACTTAACAACTGGTATGAAGAGCTGATATGCTGTGTTTGGTTTGGTTGGCACTGTTTATTATGGACAAACATCTCCAAATTGGCAAACATCTTGCAAGTTTGCACACCTAAGCCATGCTGCCATATTTGTTTCAGAAAAAAGAGGCGTTCTTCAGGTAACCCTTTCATACAATTGCTCATTCTGTTTGTAACTACAATGTCACAAACTGGCTTATGTGCAGTTTTTCTGAGCATTACACAGACCCAACTTCTGGTGAATTTCCTGAGATGTCCAGTCTGGAAAGATTGTCCCGCTGTGTTAAAACATGTCTGAATGTTCAGAGATTGGCAAACGGCTAAAGCGTCTGTTTTTACAGAGATGGTCATTCTTGCAGATGGTTAGTTAATCACGTGCTGATTAGCAGCACCTGGCTACTACTTACCCTCTTAATTCCTACTTCATAGAGTGAAAACGTTCCTTTTTCTCATGACTACACATGAAAGCCAGTACATAAAACAGTCCGACATACTTCATGACAGTGTGTGTACGTCTCGTAACCATTTTGGCTGTATTGATACATGCCATGTCAATATGCCAGCTATAGCATGTTGGCTGCAATTCATTTAAAGGCTCTGGATGCCATTAAAAAATAGTATAATTGTAGTTATCCAGAGAAGCTTTAACCTGGAGACAATAACCAAGCAGTCAGTTCACAGGTTCAGCCCATGTAACTGGTACCATGCCCACAGTCACGCATGCTGTGTTAACCACTGAACCCCTACCTGCTTATTTAATTGTAAGCTGCTCTGGAAACATTGTCTGCTAAATGCCAAGAATGTAAATAGCATGTTTACTCACAGCTAGAACAACAGAGTCTCGCTGTTATGGAAAGAAAACTCATTTTGTTAAGAACACCCACAACTAATCCCCTGCCTAACAAATCATGTAACCCTCTCCCAGCGCTCGCTAAAATAAAATCAGCCCTTACTCAATTTCTTTACCCATAACATGCTCATTAAGAATCCTTCTGAGGACAAAGTAATATTGCAAGAATATCAAGGCCTTGACCTCTGTTCTTCTCAGAATATGTAACTTCTAGATTTAGTTCTACACTTATAGACTGGGGCTGCCATTTCATCTAGAAGGTAGAGCCCATGAACTATATCTTTTTTTTTCTTTTTAACGATACAATTACAGGCTGGCTACTTAACCCCTATGAGCTATCTCACTGTGAACTGCTGTGATAAGTTTCTAAAATCTGATGTCTAATGAGGCCTGACTGCCTGCCTGGTTCCACTGAGGAGTTTGAGTGTAAATCACAGATAAGGTTGTCTGGGTGGTTAATGTGTGAGCCAGTATAGCCTTTAGAGAGACACACATACACAAACACACACATCCCTCACTTATCTCATTTCCTATGTGCCTTCTACACCTGCCAGTGATAGGAGACCAGTGTAACCACTAAGATCAACTCAGAAACTCCCCTCAAAACACAAACCTCATTAAATATTTATCAAATAGTGCAGAAACCCCGGTAGCACTCAAAGACATTTTAACTCTACCTGGAAGTCCATTTTGGACATAATTCAAAAGTCAGTAATTAAGAGTTATAAATGAGCTATAAATGGAAATTTTAATATTAAGGGATTGCATATATCACTCACATGTACCAATCAGTTTGAAGTGGTGCATGTAACCATATCTATATTAGGTTTTGTAGTTTAATTACAGATACTGAGTTATCTGTAAAACCAAGTGGGTTTAAATTTACTTTAAAATACTAAATGAAGCAAATGTGGCTTATCCTCCTTAAGCGATGCACACTCAAAATAAAGATTATAATTCCCTCCCTTAAATAAAGACTACTCTTTTTTAAGCAAGTTTGCAGAATTGCTATTCATTTATTTTATTTAGTTTTTTTAAGTAAAGCCAAGTTATCTGTTTTTACACCATTATGCAAACTCACCATCTCCAAAACAACAATAGCAGCTAAAAGGATCATGAAATTGATTGAACTTAAAAGGAGGAGTGAGTGGAAAAAGCCATATGGCCTGATCAGCAATATGAGCAACAATGCAAAGCGTTACATTTACAAGTTGAACACCAGCTGTGTTGCCAAGCTTTAGGCAGCGACAATGAAAGTAGCTAGAAAACTGCTGACATAACCCACATGATATGCCACACAGTTCGGCAATCTGAGACGACCTCAGCAACAAGCTACATCTCATCTACTTGATCTACCTCACGTGACTTCGCTGAAGCAAAACACACAGGTGCCTCGCTCCAAAGGACGGGACAAAGGACCGAGAATGACAAGAGACTCAAGCAAGCAGCAAGCTCCAGGGTTAAAAAGTTAAGCCATTGTGTAGTGGCCGCTTGAGACCATCTTCAAGAGTCACTCCCAACAGACTCCAATGTCCAGCTCGTTCATTTGTACCCAAATATGGTTTTAATACGTCCAAACGTGCTAACTTCGTGCTCCAAAAATCAACATAGCAATGATCAAAATGCCCACACTGAGCATCACAATGGCTATGTCCGTCATTTAGAAACTGTCACGGTCCGGGGCAGCGGCCGTGTGGAGAGTGGAAGGAGGACTCAAAGTGCAGCACTTATTCAGGTGTGAGGGTGATTTATTGATGATAACAAACATAAAGAGGAGATGGCAAAACAGAACTACGGATGAACTAAACTGAGTGAAACTACACAAAGGAGTGGCAAACCTGAACACGAAGGGAGAACAGCAGGGAGAGCACGCAGAGGATTTCACAGGGTAGATGCAGAGTACGCAGGATAACACAGAGGATGAACACAGGGTATGTACACAGACGACGCGACCAGGAGCAGAGGAAATCACACACTATAAATACACAAAGAGACACTGGGAAATCACACACAGGTGGGGGAAACAGCTGGACCTGATTAACCTGACGAGACAGGGGAACACTAACACCAGGGACCAACAGAGGGAGCACAAACCCAGAACCCAGTGTCTAAAATCCCAAACACAAACCATCCCAAAACAGCCATGAATAATAATGAAAGTAATAACAATAAGTACATAAACATAAAGTCACTGAGTCATGGTCGCAGGACCATGACAGAAACAGTGTCTCGCCACATGCTTTCGCCAGCTAGTTTATTCCAGCAGACAACTGCACAGAAATTTGTAATGATTAGCATACAGCACCTTTAGCTATTGTTTTATGTAGTCACAAATGGAAAAAGTCTCTACGCAAAGGATATCAGGGGCAACATACTCAACCTGCAGCCTTGACATCCCAAACATTCGTCAATGCGGTTAAAATATGAATGAATTGATGAATATATAAAAACCTACTTCTGGCTGCTCACAAGGGCTCGCCACAGCGGGGAGCTCTGCATGTTTGATTTGGCTGAATTTTTTATGCCGGATGCTCTCCCTGATGCAACCCTAAAGGCATTCGTATCTCCTCGTCAATAAAAAAAACAGTATGACTATGAATGGCTATGATCAACTTATCATGAACAAAGGGATGTTTGGAAAGCTGGTTGTCTTTGAGAATGTTCATCTATTTATCTCTGTAACGTTGACATAATAACAGGTGGTTAAGATACCTATGTACTTCAAAGCTACACAACACTAGGTTAGGGTATTCCTGATGTGTATCTCTTCAAAAATGAATGGATCAAAGAAGACACTTCCAGGAGTGAAAGGTTTTATTCTGACTGAAGCCACAGTGCTTAAATGTTATTTAAAAAAATTGATTAAAAATTACTTTTATGCTGTCTTGTAATATTTCTTGTCATTCACTTCCTACTCAGTTATGTGGGTCTTTTTTCTTTCTTTTTCATCATCAGTGTGTCAACATGCAAAATGATGACCTCAGACATAAAAGCGGACAGTAAAAACAGTACAGACCATTTTCCAGTCAGCAAACATTAAACATTTAGTTCATTTGCATGCAGTCCAGTATGCTCTCCACTATCTGGTCCTGCACACCCACACAGCTGTTTTCAGTTGTTCCTGTTAATTAGACCTGTTATCAGGTGGAGAGGTGGAAATCAAGAACTGACATTCCAGGCATTATATGAGATCATCAAACCATGTAAACAAATACTGATAAAGAATTACGGTTTCCCGGCCTAACGGGTTCAACAGATCGAGCGCCTTCACCACCACACCTACACAGCACGTGAATGCAGAAGCGTTAAAAGAAAAAATAATTATGTGAACTGGAACAACAACTTTGCTGCTAGTGTTGTGTGATTATGTGATACTTACATACAATGGAGCTTGCTGTGGATTGAGTTTCATGTCCCTGGACACTGTAAAAAGAAGAACAAATTAAGGGTTACAACTCTAATTAGGCATCTATATTGTAATATAAAACAAAATCATGTCTTAAAGCGGTACTAAAACCTGTCTGGCCGTTAAGGGCACCGCACCAAGCTGTAAACACAATATTATCCTATCAACAATTTGTAAAACCAATATTTATATTGTATTACATTTGATGCAGGCACTAAGCAAAATTAGCATATATTGACATCTAGACTCTGGTGGGTCTAAAATTGACTTTGTGTTTAGCTCTGTTTTGCTTCACTTTTTACTCGTGCAGGCTGCCTACGTATATTAACAAATGCCTAAATATATGTGGCGACCAGGTCAGTGTTATCCATACACTAAATTATTTGTGGCAGCAACCTCGACTGCCATGTATTGATTTTTTGATCTCCTTACTATTTAAAAGGGTACGGTTTTATTCCAGTGCTGAGCTGCATCCAAGGAAACAATTTTGCTCAGCTTCTTCTTGACCTACTCTCACACACACATACACAAATACAGACTGACACATTGACTTTCTGTAAATAGTCCTTCTTTGTAGTGCACACAATCTGAATGTATTACCATTAGGGCTGAACGATATATCGCATTTGCGATAATATCGCGACATGATCAAGTGCAATTTTCTAACCGCAAAGGCTGCGATTATACTCTGGACATGTCCAAATTCATGGGCTGCATCCTCCTGAGGCCGCATTTGTAGACCGATTACGTCACAGCGACGCGCCGAAGGCTGTCCAAATTACTACCATATCCCAGAATTCATAGCGCGGCCCAGCCAAACTCCAGTTTCCAGCAATGGCGGCCGCTACTAAGTTTTAAAATTACTCATACTAATCTTTCTGGGTCACAAAATAAACTTTTAACATATTTTCAGGCGAGAAAGTAGTTGTGTAAACATCAAATATCTGCTCGGTTTATCAAGATATCCCATATTTGCAAAAGTGCTTCGACGTTTTCAGAGGCGTCTGCTACCCACCAGCTCGACAGCTAGCCGGGAGCTCGAGGGTTACTGATGCGGCCGAGAACGGCACAACTCCCGGCACATCATTTTCAGATCACCGCGGAGTTTCGCTGCTCGGGTTAAACGTAATATATAAGTCACTTAGACAACCTAAAAATGTTATTGTTGGGCTTTTTTCAGTGTTTTGTTTGTTCGTGAGTAAATCGGTTTGGCTGAGATTAAAGTTATTAGATTAGATAAAATAAAACTTTATTAATCCCCCGGGTGGGTTCCTCCTTGGTTTTCACACAGCTGACTAAACGTCAAACAGAAAACTTATTAAACAGAAGTATGAGACAGTCGAGAATTTACACCAGTGTCTGGTTATATTTTAGATAGCAAGAAGCAGACGGCCGAGTTTATTAAACTCCACCGAGACAGCGGTGACGCTAATCAGAACTAGTCAGGCTAGACCGTCCAATTTCACGCCTTTAATTTTAAAGGCGTGTTTGTGTGTGTGTTTATACAATTGCTATTATGTTTGCACTTTATGTGTAATGTTACTGACTGCAGAGATCAGTAAGATGTGTGTATTTTTTATTTATTAGTTTTATTTATTTAATATTATTTTTTAATTGAATGACTGTCTAGTAGTTCACAGATGTCGAAAAACTGAGTGTGGTAAAGCCACTGATTTTTTTTATGTATATTTCTGCAATCTGCACATTGTACTGACTTTCATTTTAATGTTTACACCAGGGTTCCTTGTCAGCACTTTATGCTCAGATGTTTGTAAGCTAAAAATAAACTATTGTGTATGTTCAAATATACTGTTGTGATTGAAGAAGTTAAATAAAAATGTCAGTCATCAATTCATGCATCACCTCATGTCATCATAACAGAGGTCTGTCTTCCAGGAAAGAACAGTTTAAAATTAATGTAATATAGTATTGGCCATACTATATGATGTATTGCTTGTCTTTGTTTAATAATACAGAAGACAAAGACCTTAAAAAATAATCGCATATCGCACGCATCGCAATATTGGGGCAAAAAATCGCAATTAGATTATTTTCCATAATCGTTCAGCCCTAATTACCATGCACTGAAGGAAGGATTATTATTGGTCTTTCTCCACATAGCGACAGGTGACATCATCATAAAAGACACAAGTTTGTTCAAAACTGGTACATCAAAGTCTGACAATGCTCTTACTCCTCAAATAAGTTATTAACATGTTTATGCCCAGAAAGAAAGAAAGAAAGTGCGTGGGTGGGTGGGCATTAAAAACTAAAACCGAATTCACTTCCATAACCATATTACCTTCAATAATCTACAGTCAAGTGTGTCAAATAAGGAGCAAAGCAGTCAGGTCGGATATGGTTTGAGGAGATTAGCACTCTGTTATTAACTGTTAATAACTAGACCTGCAATCAAATATTGCTAAAGTTATTTAACTCAGATGCTCAGGGCTTACTGAGATCCAGACATAGTCTGAACCAGAGTTTTTAACTAAACAGAGTCCATAAAGTGTCCAGGAGAATATCCAAAAGTCCAACCAGTGTGATAGCTTACCACTTAAATTATTTATTTCAGTATTTCCATGCTTCAGCCAGCACTGATGTGGCAGCTAAAGCAAATGAGGGTCAGAAAAAGATATCTATAGCTAACATGAGGAGGAGGACAGCAGCCAGCATGCCGCTGTGGGAGAGCCAGAAAGGGCAGAAGCAGCAGATGAGATAGGCACGCACTGAAAACGCCTCCTTGCTGCAGCTGGTAATTATCCTCTGAGGGTTCATCAGTACAAGCGACATCTTTCACTTTATAGAGTAATTTAGTCCAAATGAGAAACTGCTCTGAGGAAGAACTATACGCTGCCTGCCCAGACAAAGGTAGGTGTGAGCTCGTGTAAACATATAATCGAGGCCTTTAGCTTTTAAAAAGCCTGATATTTCCCTAGGGTATTGACAAATACCAAACAAATGATTCATCAGGTAGCCAGAAACTCAACTTCACATGAATGCCTTTACTCCTCCATGCTCACTGGTTGTATAAATAAGCAAATATTTTCTAACATGTCAGCCATAACAACTTAATGAATTGATAATGTATCAGTCACAGCTCCAGAGCTTTCCGCACAGTTCAAAAGGGACAGAAGATAATTAAATAATGGAGATTACGACATGTAAGCTTAGTGGGTTTTGTTTATTACCCTTTTATAAAATCCTTTAAGTCTGTGTCAGACAAATACATATCCAGAAAATCATACTGAAAATTAATTATTGACAAATTTGTTACATTGACATTGCTTACTTTTGAAAAAGCCAACAAAATGCAATATGGAATAAACACTTTATTTCCCAAAACATTAGAATATTATATATCTGAAAAAAAAGAAAAGAATTATATTAATGTGTAAGACCCTTTCCTTCCTTAGGCCCTCCTTTTGCACAGTACAGACATTCATTATTAATAGAGAACACGGGCTACAGGGAATACATGTGTAATATATATATGTCTGATTAAATAAAATCCCAATTTATAAAACAGGCTAAAAAATAACTTAATTCCAGTACTGGTTATTTATTTATTTATTTGGTTAAAATCTCTTTGGGGTGTCAAAAATTACTTTATGCAGAAAAGACCCTCGTAGCTAGAACATTAAACCTAAACATATTTTGTAGTACTTTGGAAAATGCTAGCAAACTGCCACTGGGACTACTCTATCCTAGTGATGCTTGCTAACTGAAATAGTCTGGATACTGGAACAGGAAGCATGTACAGCAGCTCTTCAGAACATTGCTGTGGACAAGGTGGCAGTTAAGCTTGGCTCTGGCGGTTGTCCCAATACTCGGTGGGAGATTAAGAGTACAGAACAGACACACACTGGATCACACGTGGGTTCCTGCCTCCTCTTATCACTGATTAGTCCCTCACTAAAAAAAAAAATAAAGCAAGAAAAGTAAACCACCAATATATTTTGACTTTTAGTTGTTTTACAAGGATTTGTATGATCAGTTAGCAGGATTTATCAGCTTATGTTCACATTTGATTCCTCACTCCCACTCGAGGATGCAGGCCTCAAAGCCTTTCTCTGGGCACAAGGTCAGAGGCGGTGGGTGTGTAATTACATCCAAACAAATGCATAACAGCTTTAGACTTGAGGATGAATGGATTTGAAACCTTTGTGTTGAACTTTCTTGTGGAGATATCAGGCTGCTTGTATTCATCAATGAGTCAAGGGACTGGTCACTTTTGAGACCACTCTCCTTGGTTATTTGCAGAGAAAATTTTCTCTTTTGTTTGCTGTTCTCTGGCACTAAAACAAGTCCTTGCTGCTGGCCTGCAGTGGTCAGCAGTGCATTAATCACATGAACCTCACAGCGGGGGAGGCAGCGTCAAAAAAGGCCAAGACCTAATGAGTTCAGCAGAGAACTGCTGGACTCAACAGAGTGCTCAAGTGCAGCGAGACCAATTCACTTTCTGTAGCCCAAACCAAACTTTTTTCCACTTTTTCTGCTAAATAAATAGCCTTGAACTAGAATTAGGCAGATCAGGTAAGGGGATAATCAGTAGCTCTAATAATACTCTGGAGCCTAATCCGCTTGCCTTAAGTGCACTGGGCCAGAGACCAGCTTCCTCACTCACCACATGCACAACTTTGACTGATAAGACTCTCACGTAATGTCCTCAACAGTCCCACTGCTTCTTTTATATTTTGATATTTGGAACATTTGTCGTCTCCTAGTGCTCTTTTTATAACTACTCCAGGCAAGACATGGGTAGGAGCCTTTACTCAAGGACGTTTCAACAGGGCAGACTGACAGCTTTATTGACTTTTGCAGCCAGTGGGTCCTTGTTATTTTGCTAATGTGATATCTAAGTGACCGCTGACTTAACTCAGTGCACAACACAACAATATCTGGTTGGAAGCAGAGGCTGTGCTACATTCACATTTTTCACTATTGAGGACAGAGATGATAACACTTACTCATCCAAATGCAGGTTTTTTGTGCCCTTTATCAGCTGTGCCATGCT